TTTAACCAGTACTCTAGAGTACAAATACCGCATGATTTTTGTACTCGTCTATGGCATTATTTGTACTCTACGAAGTGTAGTTGGATAATAAGAATGGGTACCAGCTAACTGTCAAGAAAGCCTGATGAAATGCTGGGGGGTAACCGTGGGGTGGACTAGCATCCTACCCAGAGGGGAGTAGTAAAGTAGTAATACTCCTAGTTGCTTCATGCTAAGAAGTGTGGGATAAGCTCCAACTGGGTAGTCCCCTTAGGCTTGAGCAAAGACTAAGCCCTAGCCCACTTAGTGTAGGCCTCAACAGATAAGATGACATTTTCATGTTCTGTGCTTGTTTGTTTTTCCAAGGCAAGGAGCTCTGCAGGGTTTAGAGGAACTGTTCGGTATGCTTCTATCAATGCTCATGACAATAAGGTGGGTTCACATGCCTTTGCATCTATTTTACAGCAGTTTTTCTTTTAAAATACATGCACATCAAAAAAAAGCATCATCCATTTATCCATGTCTGTAAATAGAACATCAACTTGTGACAATGGACAGGTGACAAAACTCTTTAGCAGTTTCTACTCTAGGGCTGACTATATTCTTTAAGGGTGTTATGTTCATTTCCTCTGAAATGGATGAAGCAAATTAGTCAGGTGCGTCAATGATAAATTCCCCTTTCCACAGCGTTCCCCTTGAAAACTTCCTCATGACCCTGCAATGCAATTCTGTATCCAGGCACAACATTTCAAAAAATTGATTATGCTACATGTACAACATAAGCATACTGTTTTCAGACTGGAAGGCAGTGAGAAAAGAGCAGTGTCATCGTGATATTACTGAAGAAGGGAATAGTCACTAGGTTTTGTTTTAGCTGAATTTAAATGGAAGAGTTGGTTTCTCTTACAGGAAATGGGAAGACAAGATGATCTGTGGTCTTTCTTCTACATGATGGCAGAGTTTGCAAATGGACATCTACCGTGGAGGAAGATGAAAGATAAGGTACATTAGATATTTTACACATCCTTGTCCAGGGCCTGGTTGTTTGAAGTCCAATAAGTGAAGTACTAACCCAGGGTTAACTTTTAACCCAGATTTCAAAGGAAATTATTCCTTTCTTCAAAAGCCTTTTCCCCGATAATTTTCTCTGTTCTGTTTAGGGTGTCCACTTATCAAATTGTCGACATAATGAATGGTACTGAATTTTCTGTTAGAGCCTTCTAATCTAAAATCAGATGTCACACTTACTGAAGGTTTTCACTGAATCGTGTTACATATTTAGCAACTAAATTCCTTGTTGCCTGAGACCTGTTGACGTCAAGATTTGGTGAGAACAAATTAAAGTAATGGCCTACAAGGCACAGCTAGATGTGTCACTGATGTTGGTAACACATTTTGACGTATTACTGAGTAGACCCACGGCAACATGGAATCTATTTGTTTGAGTTCATCTGATAACAAAGTTAACTGTTGTTAATGGTGACATCAACAGTTTGCATCTGACCTCCAGTAGATCAGCAGTATGAACCAATCAAAATGTGTGTATCATCTGTCCTCCAATAGATCATAAATTATTAAGTATATGAACCAATCAAAATGCGTGTATCATTCAACTTATCGTACAGGAACAAGTTGGAAAAATGAAGAAAAGTTACGACCATCAGTTGTTTCTGAAGTCGCTTCCCCTGGGCTTTAAACAATTTCTGGATCACATCAGCAAGCTTAAGTATGAAGACAAGCCAGACTACAAGGTAAAAGAACGAGCAACAGTTTTGATCTAATGATTCCATCAAATATATGTACTAGTTGTTCTCCTTTCTTGGCTGAAGCCTGTAGTGTCTCTTATCTTATAGCTTGGGAAACTTGTATAACTTATCCTTGTGATTTGGCGCACTTTTAGGTAATTTGTTTTGGGGGGGTAGGGGGGACTGCTGGTAGCAGGGAAGTGCTGACATGGAAAATGGGTATCCTTTATTTTATTTTCATCCTTCCTTGCAGATGCTCATTTCCACTGTGGAGAAAGCGATCGCTAAGAAAAGCATCACGGAGAGCGATCCGTTTGACTGGGAGAAAATGCCGAATGATGTTTCACAGGCCACAACAACCACTAGCACCCCTCCCATGGGGCAAATATACACGACTCCCCCGGACAACAGGCCTGGTCCGCCGAACCATCATGCCTCGGACCGAGTGTCGCCCAGTATGGACATGTTGGAAGATCACAGTGCCGAGCATGGCAATGAAGCGAACAGAAAGGATAGCGGGCCCAAGAATGGTAACGCTTACTACAAGTTTGGTACAACAGACAGAGGAGTGATACAGAAGATAAGAGAGGTATTGGATGCTGTGGAAAAAGACAATGGGAATTTCTTGAAGCCTCAAGCTGTTCTTCAAAAGGCTACCAAACAGGTATAAAGATTTTGCTGTCTATTAATCTGATGATTTCCGAGTAGTTTTACCAACCATAAGAAATGAAAATGAAATATACTATACAACTATGTAGATAGATAGCGAGTGGAGTTTCGTATGGTTGTAGATGAAATGGTTAAAAAAAAAAAACACGAGTTTATCTTACTGCGTTTTAAACAACTAGTAAATTTATTCTAGAACCGATTTGCATTATTTTCCTGACAAAATACTGGAGGGGAAACCGCGATTGACTAACATCCCATCCTATGTGGGGGTAGGGGTGGGGGGGAGCAGTACCTTGTCGCTTCATGGTACAGAAACCGGGAAAGTTCTGACTAGATGAGTTACTTGACACGATTGCAGACTAACTACACGTACCAATACATACCAGAATCTGCATTAAACGGAAACCTTTAGCTAACCAGACTAGCGCGAGAGCCCTCAAAACTCAATTGTTACAAGAAAAGTACTTCATTTCCTTTCCCTTACAGGATAAATCCCTAAATGGAGAAATAAAACTGGAAACGCCGAAATTGATTTCAGCAATCGTACAGGATGTCCAAATGGCAAAGATTGGTGGCAAAGAAAACCAGCCCGGGGTCGATGGACCAGACTATAAAGAGATCGAGGTTATTCATGTTCCTCAAGTTCGAATAAACGATCAGCAAAATAGGACACTGCGTGTGAATACTCCCGATGATCCAGGTAAACCAACGACTGAGACAAATGTGAATGCGGAGGTGTGTGGATTGGACTTGGATAAAGTGGAAGATATCAGTTCTACAAATCTGCCACAGAAGAAAATAGAGGTGGCTTCGTTAGAACCTGAATTTAAAAAGGAACAAATTCTCCCCACGTTGCCAATATCCCAAGAATCCCCCTCCCTTGGGGTTCAGGTGCCAGTTACTTCTCCAACCGTCATTAGAGAACTGTCTTCACCAGATTCCAAACCAGCTGAAGTGGATGAACGTGGAGTTGAGGCGAAACCAGAACATATCGAGGAGGTGGAGGAAAGGAGATTTGTGTCTCTGTGGTCTCCTGGGGTGGTTGAGGATCAGCCAGTTGTATACATGCCCCCACCGGTGGTAGAAACGGAATGTGTAGAGGAGCTGGAGGAGCTTGCTAATGTAGGCAGGAAGGAGAGACAAGTAGGGAGCAGTCATCATTTGTCATCCCATCACCATCACCATGACGACATGAAGAAGCACTTGCGGGAGTTACCGCTGGACTCTGAGCCCGTGAGGCATAGCAGTGACGACAAGAAAACTCATGACGAGGTCAGCAGTCACAAACTGGATCATAGGTCTGTGGGAGATTCTCCTGAGGGGCCCCCGGGCAATCTGTTTCGCGTGCCGTCCATACTGGAGCAAATGGTGGAGGAGGAGCCAGCGGAGTTCGCGGAGAACAGAAGTTTGTTCCGTGTACCCTCCGTTTTAGAACAGATGATGGACGAGCCGCCCGTCGAGCCGGAAGACAACATGCCGATCCCCCCTGAGGTTGACGAATACAGACTTGATTCGGCGGAATTTGTTTCAGACAAGCACGATGGCTCGTCCCATTCCCACCACGCTCTTCACATGCCGGGATCAGCCATGGCTGCTGTCACTACTTGCCGGGACCTGCACTTCAGGGACAGCGAAGCTGGGTTTATTTTGGGAGACACCGACGTTGCTCCCGCAGCAGATTGTAATTCATCTTTATCACACGCTTCGGAAGGCGAGAATTCCAACGAAGAAAATGGCACGGAGTTTCCCCTGGATGAAGAAGAGAAGGCCGATTCCAATGATGCGCGACGCTCTCAAGAAGACAAGGATGAAATTGATAGTAGACCTATTGTTTCCTTCTCAAATGGAAGTGATGAGAACGTAGCTGCTTCAAAGGAGAGAAATGTCATTGAAACATCTGCAGGAACGAAAGAAACAAAATCTGAAAAAAAGGACGAGGTTATGGTAGATCAAATTCCACAGATATCGGAGGGGTTAAGCAACCCAGTTAAGAATGTAGTCTTCTATATCGGCGATCACAACGAAGATACGCCTGAATATAGTCAGCCGCTGAACTCCGGAGACGAAAACCTGGACAATAACTTCTTCTCTGAAGGCCAGCCACAGAAGCCTGCCGAGAAATTGAACAATGTCGAAGAGAGTGTAAATGAGGCCAACGTAGGCCGCCGCGAAGAAGGCGAACAGTCAATTAGCGTCGCCGAACCCAAAATACCGACTTTAAACGAACTCTTTAATAACGATGAAGGGGAACCGGACTTTGCAGACGACGTGGTCGATGATTACTGGGCACTAGAAGAGCCTAGTGATAACCCGGACACACGGGACTTGGGTGAGCCGGAGACGAGTGAAGAGTCTCATCAGGGTGACGAGTTGCTTAGACCCAAGCCTCCTCCGGGACGGTCAGAACGAGGTTGCATTTCAGCCAGGTAGGGTTAGACTAGTCGCTTTTGTTACGTCATAATACATTTATGATGAAGATGTTGATAATAATTGTGAAACCAATTCAAAGTCAGCTGAAAGGAATTTTTGGTAAGAAAAAGAGAAATTTCCAAAATATCACGATGGAATCAAAGTGGTAGTTCAAAGCAAAGACAAAACATGCAAAGTACCACGTTTTTCAATTCCAACACTGAACTTACCCCCTTCCTCAGTTTTCAGGGCACAACATCTAATTTGTCTCCCTTCTCTGCCCTCATCTTCATCTTCC